GGGCTCAGGAGAAAGCTGGCCAGCAGCTGGGGAGCTTCGTGGTGCTCTCAGGAGGAAACCACTCCAGCCTTGGGGAACAGCTAGACCCATCCGAGCCACCTCCCACCCCGGACTTCTGCAGGGGCTACTTCGACGTGATGGGGCAGTGGGACCCCCCTTTTAACTGCAGCTCGGGGGAGTTCATCTTCTGCTGTGGCACTTGTGGCTTCAGGTTTTGCTGCAAGTTCAAGAAGACAAGGCTGGATCAAAGCACCTGCACAAACTATGAGACGCCGTTATGGATGAACACCGGGAAGCCTCCTTCCCGTATAGACGACCCTCTGCATGATCCTACCAGGGATAAAACCAACCTCATTGTCTACATCATCTGTGGGGTTGTGGCAGTCATGGTGCTGGTGGGGATCTTCACCAAACTAGGGCTGGAGAAGGCACACAGACCCCAGCGGGAGCACATGTCCAGGTAAGACTGAGTGCCAGGCAGCAGGGTCCCCTTCCCACCTATCTCATCCCCCAGCCCCTAAAGAGGAGAGAGGAGCCCTTGTGTTCTTTCTAAACAAACAACGCCTGCCAGGCAGGCTGCATTCCCTTGCAAGGCAACCAAGAGAGACCAACTTTGGAGAACAGAGCTCCTGTGGTTCCCCAACCCCAGGTTATCAAAGTACATGCATACTGAGGAAGACTAGAAATAATTGTGGAGTCTGCACAGACAGTAGTCCCTTTTCATCTGCAGTGTCTGACCCTCTCCCCAACAAGATCCAGCAAGTGTTCGCAGATATACTGTGCATGAATAGGAAAGCAAAAAAATCCTGAAACCAGCAACACTGAATTATAGAAAGCCTGATGGGTTCCCTCTTCCAACGCTTGGAAAATGTTTTTACTTCTCAACAGAAGGATGTAAACAAATGTCATCTCACCCTCCCTCTCCAGCTGCAAAATGGTTTTGGCAGGACCTTCCCTACTCCCCCAACCCTTGCAAGTGTGTCAGCTATTTGTAAAATTTCTAAGCTGTGAAAATGAGCCAGGGTGGAAGGGAAGAGGCAGACACAAAAAAGAAAAGCTATTGTAGAATATCTTAACATTTTTTCAGTTACTGTTGAGAAGTAAAAAATGGAATATGAAAGTCTTGTCTCATCCATGTATGTGTGTGTTACACTCTGTCTACAGTGTAATGGCTGAGTTATACCAAAGAGAACCTCCCCCACCTAGAGTTAGGCATGCTGTGTACCGTCTACTCCAGATACTGGCTGCCTAGTGGTGGATAGGTAGGTGGGCACCTCAGGACGGAGCACAATGGCTTTAACAGCATATTCCAAACCCAGATTGTCACAGCAGTTCAAAATCAAGGCATAACACATTTGTCAAGTTTGCAGTCTGATTCTTTATGCTAATCCCAGGCACATGAAAGTAAAGCAGATGGGGGAAAGGCATTAAAAAAGGCATACAGCTCCATTAAAGAGTCTAAATAGATTCCAGCATATCGGGCAACTTTAGTGATGAAATGCAATTAAAAGTATACCTTCTACTGGATGTGCAGTGTGGCAGAAAGCTTCCTCTTGCCCCGACTATGGTGTAGTTCACAATCTTTAAAGCTTAGATGAAGAGTCATGCTTTGAAAGATAGTCCAAGAGATCAACTCAACACCCAGAGCGTTATTTTTTACTTAAGTTTCTGCATGACTTTTTGATTAACTGCTTATCCTGAAATGAACAGAGAAAGCCACAAAAATACTCCTGCAAATGCATCACCAGTTCACTAGCAATTATTTGCTATTTATAAACTGGCTGATATGGATACGCTTTTACTACTGAGGAACAAAGCACATTGCAGGAATTTTAGTCAACATCGTGTGTCAGTGATACTTCTGCAAAGATGTTTTTTGTTGAGCAAGGTATAATAATCCTTTAGGCATTTTGAATATTCTCAACTACTAAACAGATAAAAAGAATACATGGGTCCAATTTTCTTTTTTAAATCTTAAACTAAAGAGCTTGTTTGGAAAAAGCTCTTCCTTGCTTCAGCCTCTCTCTGTAGTGTCTTCATGCAGGCAAAAAGGCAGCGCTCGTAACAGTTACAAAAAACAGGACAGAGTGAAGTTGTAGCCATCCCTACTTATATATGGCTTAAATAGGTCCTATTTCTACTAGTAGAAATACTTGCTATCTAAAGTACACATATGAAGTATTCTGAAAGGATATTCTGTCTTAGTTTATGGAAATAGAATTATAGGGGATTGGAAAATCATTCTGAAATCCTTCAGTCATGTATGCATAAAGATTACGTTTCTGAAGTGGTTCTTAGAAAAGGTCTTCCGTTACCCTGATTACTTAACAGAGTCTGAGATCTTGTACTTTTCTTGCCATGAAAATGTTCAAGTCAGGATTATATAGAAACTTGGGAAGTCATGATCACATGGAGAAACAGTCACCCACTCAGTACACATAATAGCTAGTCATGTTCTGAAAAAGCAGCACTATAGCTTTTTAAAAAAAAAATTCTCACACTCCTGTTACAGCTGTGGGGTGGGCTTACCATTAATTTGAAAAGGAATTAGATTTGTAAATCCCTTCGGCAATCTAAAATTCTGTTAATTGAGTGAAAATTGAAGTAACCTTTTTGTCCTCGAATGTGTGTTTAACTAAAATATTTCATCCTAGCTCATTTTACACTGCTAATGTTCTGGAAAAAAGGTTGCAATGCTTAAGAAATAAGTAATTTATCTGTTTAATAGTACCAAAAATTAAAATAATATATAGCCTATATTCATATTCACCTTCTTTTATAACATTCATCACTACAATATCAAACAACAAAACTAAAAAGAACACTTCTTATGTTTTTTTTCTGTACTGAACCTTATTAATAAACAAAAGTATAATGCACTGAGAGTGTTAGGTAGGCCAAAACCAAAGTACTAAGTGTCACTTCATTTTGGCTGTCAGCAAGAAACACACAGAGGCTGATCTGTCATCTATTTCCTTAGCTAAGGTTGTCTCCTTTCCCTTCCCTAGCCAATGGCTACATGAAACATTTGGATCTTCTTCATTCCTACGAATAAATTCACCTATGGAAAGGATGGTACTGCTTATCAAAAAAGACAATGCATAATGTAAACTGATCTTTTTTTATGAGGGCTGATTTTTTTAAAGAAAGTGGACGGAATACAACTGGTGTGAATTATGTTTTTCCATTTTTGATTTACTAAAAATATAAACAGAGACCTGACACATGGGAATAAGAACATGGACTTACAAATAGGAAGCAAAACTGTGCCACACTTATTAATTCCTTGCATTATTTAATCTTGCAGTCAGTGGATCTGCTGTTAAAGTAAGACACTGGTGTGTGTTAATAAAGAAAACTTCACAGGCTTGGCAAGTATAGTTTCTATACACTTGCCTTTCATTACATTTTGTTTGCTGCTATACCAAAACAAAGAAAGAACACTTCATTAATTTCACTGAATTTTTCTGAAATATTTGACAATGAAAAGCATCAGGGAAATGTATGTATTTAGTGAAAACAATCCATAGGAAAAAATCTCTTTTGGGCAAGTCCTTTTAGGAAAAAAGAGTCAAAATCTGTTCTTTTTTCGAGAGCTTGTTACTGCTTTTTGTTTTAACCAAAAAGGCCAAGTCTGGCACTGTTGACATTTTCTTTCTTGTTAGATCAGTGCTTTTCAGTAAAACATTTTTACTGTTGGCATGGAACTGTAAATCTGGAAGATGAAAATGGAGAGGGAAGTACAGTATTAACTCTGCATGGCATATTTCACTTTAAACATCATATGATAATGTTTTGTTTATATCATTCTCCTAATTTTAAAATTTGTGACTTGACATTAAAAGGAGATAAATGTTCCCTTCAGCTACAGTGTCCAAGAACTAAGCAGTAATAGTAGTATCCAAACAGAACAACTCTACCTTTACCCTCCTGCTTTCTAAGAGAATAAGGGAATAAGATGGTGTATGATATCAGATATGGCAAAGGGAATAAATGTGGCAGTACTGTGCCTAAAAGGAAACGGAATTGATCTGTCTCCTGAAGCAGATCTAGAAGCTCTGTGAGGCATATGAGGGCAGCATGTTCTTATGATGCTTAAGACTACATCCATGGGACTTCCAGGGTCCATCAGTTAAAGTGGAGAATTCTCCCTTGAAAAGGGAAAAGCTTTACTTCTGTTTCATGGAGGAGATTTTTCTGTAAATAAAACCACACCTTTGTCTTCCCTAATACTTGTGGAGAATGTGCAAACAAACCAAGAACAGAAAGGACAATATTTACAATCATGCTGGTATGCTATAGCTCCTGGTTTTTCGAAGTAGTGCTTCTGACAGTACGTTAGCAGCCTTCCAAATATTGTGAACCATCTGAGCTCTTCTTTCTTCCTTCACAATGTGATGAGCTCGCAAGTTAAGTCTTTTGTTGATCATTCAAAAGACATGTACCTGGGGCCAAAAATAGTGTGACTTGCCAAAATTCTGAATCCTATGTGTGAAATTATTTCCCTTATGGGCTTTGACCCAGTTTTGGATGCAAAATATGACGTGACCTTTCATGAAATAACCTATGTTTCAGCTTCTTCAAGCTTGTACCCATAAGGGAAATGCCTGGCTCCACATGCTTTATAACACCTGAAAATAGCATTACATACCCAAAGAGAAAAATCTTATGGCAAAAGAAATGCTGAAGTTTTGTGATACTTGGATAATTCTGGGCCATGAACTCCTGTGTAGGTAACATTTATCCACTTTTGTAATACTGCAATCAATATCAATACATAGGACCTAATGATATCACTACCTCAATAGAAGGTTATCGTGTGTTTTGCATTTCCTTTAAAAATCATTCAGTATTGCAAAGCTGTAGAAAAAGATCCTCTGTGTATATAATTTTTCAATGGGACCCACTCTAATAATTTCTTCAGATAAGTAACAAAATCTGTATGACGATATTCAGGTGAGACAAATGCATGAAGGTATTATAACAGTCTGCTGGCCTATTTGGAATTTTTCAAAGCAAATGTCTATTCAAGGATTTTGTCACGTACTGGAGCACAAACCTCCCTTTATCCATTTCATTATATGGGCAAATCCCTGAAAGAACAAAATGTAGGTACAGCATTTCCTTTCTATGTCAGTGATAACAAGCTGCTACACGTTTTTAACTCCCCCTGACATCAGTGGAAGATAAGGACAAACTCTTTGTTGTATGAGCTATTCTGCCCTGAGAAGATTGTACAACTTTGGCTAACAGTATAAACATAGGTGCTGTGTTGTTAAAAATAGAACTTGATGGTGAGTAGTTCCTTTTTTCTTAATATAGTGGGAGTTGGACAGCTAATTCTTTAAAACCCCTTTGAAAAAAGCCACCCTAAAATGGTAAAAAATTTAGTTGGCATTTTCACAGACAGGCACTAGTTAATCTGCTATCCTACAGGGTGTTATTTAAAGTCTACAGTGAACAATATTTACCATCAGATTAAGGGCAATGAGGAAAGCATTTCTGAAAACCCACTCTCACAAAGTTGGGAAATACTAATCCATGCATTACGAGATCTCACAGTTTTAACTCCCACACTGAAGTTAAGAACTTTCATTTGCATTTCTTCCCTTCCCAGAAATGTGTCCAGCTGCCTCTGGAATTAGAATTAATATTGATGTCAATAGTTTCCTTTGTATAGAGACATATTTGCATAAATTGACTAGATATTAATGGTTTTGGTCCCCACTTATTTTAAACTATGTTTTGCAATATAATGCTTTCTTTTTGCATAATTTTCTACATACCTTTGTGAGATCTCTTCTGTGGAATTTTTCTTTTTCAGCTATGTAGGCCAGCTCTGCTATTTGTGCTGCATAAGCATTGCTTCAAATGGGAGCATTGCTCTGATACCATTAATCACTTGGTTACTCTCTTCTGACCTTTTACAGTATCAACAGACTATTCTGTAACATGTTGATCAGGACTGTAACTAATATTTTAATAACATAATGCTAGCCATAAACACAATGAAACATCAATATCGTTCAGCTGTGTACCAAAGCAATGTTCCTGCAATCTGAAAGCAAGATCCAGCTCAGGATTCCTCTCTGTAACTTAAATGAAGCTACTTTTTAATACTTAAAAGTACAGTGCTTCTTGATCAAGAAATCATCATGTCACAGAAGTACAGTGGATGAGCTAGATGGCACTTGCCATGGCTTTCACCAGTGAATGTGCTTATTTTTTTTTTATTTGTTAGCTTATAAACTAGTGTTTCTTGATGCAGTATCTGGGACACTGTATACAATTTTGCAGAAAATTAAACTAAACTGGGCACAGTGCCCAGAAGATGCATCCATTCCCTTAAAAAAAACAGCTTGAGGGGTTTAAAAATTAAAACTAGTAAAACAAAAAGAAGGCAAATAATGGTCAGTGGTGCATTGACCTGAATAGAAAAGACTTGCATTGAACCCTGAAGACACTGGTAACACATACCATAGCTCTCCTTTGCCTAAGGCAACAGCTTCTGCAGGTGAGCCAATATTTTGTATGACACAGTAGTTCAGCAGG